ACCCTTGACTATCTCTAAAGTTCCCTTCTCAGTACCTTCAGTGGAGCGTCTGGAAGTTTCTGGAGAAAATCGTCCAGTGGGCTTTCATTTTAAATTTTGTTCTCAAATCCCAAATGGCCCTCCGCTTGGGCAATAGAGACAGTTATTAGTCTGTAATAAGCATGTATCTCCTTTTTCTAAGACAGCATTTTCTCATTTCTTCTTAAACTTTCTACCCCAACTTCTAGCTTAAGGCCTCCCTCATCTCATAAGTCATTGAGAAAATAGAAATAACCAGAAATCCTTCCCTCAATCTCCCACCACCAAATTCACACACCTTTCTGCATCTGCTGGCATTTTCTCTTCTTTTCCCTGTCACAGCAGAAACAAAAACAATAAAGCCCTTCTTCCAATCAAAGGCAAAAATACCAACATACCCCGGTATGTGTTCTGTTGTCTTTCCCTCTCCCAGCATCTCAATAAACTAGTTCCTTTGGCCGTAGATTGTCCTGTATCATCAGTGTCTCGTTCCTGCTGGATCATTCCTGCTGGTACACAAACATTTAAGCAAAGAAACAAAACCTTTGTTTGTTTGTTTGTTTCTTTGTTTGAGATGGGGTCTCTGTTTCCCAGGCTGGAGTGCAGTGGTGCAGTCTTGGCCCACTGCAACCTCAGCCTCTCGGGTTCAACTGATTCTCCTGCCTCAGTCTCCCGAGTAGCTGGGAATACAGGCGCACACACCACCACACCCAGCTTATTTTTGTATTTTTAGTAGAGACGGGGTTTTGCCATGTTGGCCAGGCTGGTCTTGAACTCCTGACCTCAGGTGATCCACCTGCCTTGGCCTCCCACAGTGCTGGGATTACAGTGTACATGAGTCACCATGCCCGGCCCAAAACCCATTATTAATCAGACATCCTCCTCTTACTCCTGCTCTACCTGTCTGCCTCCCTTCATGGCAAAGCTTCTTCAAAGAGTGGGGATCCACACTGTCACCACTTTCTAGGCTCTTTTCCATTCTTCCGTCAAATTCAGTCTGGATTCTTGCCCCACCCTCCATGACAACTGCCTTTGCTTTTTTCTTCTGTGGGTATTACCACTGGGATCTCTGCTGCCAGCTCCAAACGTTGCCATTCTATCCTCATCCAATGGGACTTCTCAGCAAGTATTTGCCATGATTGACTGTTCTCTCCATTGTCCAAATAATCTTATCTTGAATCCAATGAAGCACCTTCGTTCTTCCCTTCTTTGTCTTCTCTGAAGGCTGATTCTCTTCCTCCTGGCCATTTGAAAGCTTGCTACAAGGCTGTCTTGAAATTTTGCAGCCCAGGGTTCTTTCTTTGATGAGCACAAAATTGTTTCTTGGATTACAGTCTCTTTTTTGACTTTACACATTCTTCTTAGGAGATACCATCTACAACCATGGCTTCATGTGATTTAATATACTCAGATGACACACAGATTTTTATATCTAGCCCAGACTTCTCTGAATTCTAAACCTATGTTTTCAACTAACTACATTCTCCCTTCTCTTAGACCCCTCCTGAAGAAACCCCCAAACTTCATTCTATCCTGAAACACATTCAAACCTAGTTCTCTAAAATAGCTCTCCTTTTTAGAGAATTCATTTTCTCTAACTAGAAACTTGGTCATTATCTTTGGGACCTTCTTCTCCCTCACTTCTCCAGCATGATGCCCAACCTCATGACTCCTTAGTATCTCCTGGAACCATCCTCTTTCCCCTCATTGGTCACTACTACCTGATGCAAGCTGCCATCGTTTCTTGCTGAACTGCTGCACCAGCTTCCTAATGGGTCTCATACCCATCCTAGGCCCTTCCAGTCCATTCTCCTCTTTACAAAAGAATCACAATGAAAATCTGATCATGGCACCCCCTCATGCTTGTCACCCTTCAATGGGATTTTGAATGTGTACGGCTCATTACAAAGACCACAAAGCTCCGCATTGGTTTGACACCCATCCACTGCCAGCCTCATCTCACACTACTCTCTCCTCCCTACCCTGGCTATCTTTTATGAATAGATTTGGCTTTTTGAATACCCTGGCTATCCTCTCTATAAATTGCACTCCCTTCTCTCAAAAGTTCTGTATGCATTGTTTTTCTGTCTGAATGCCCTTTTTGCCTCTGTTTATATGGCTGAGTTCTTCTCATTCTTGTCTTAGATTAAAATGTCATTTCCTTAAAGAGGTGTTCCCTCACTATCCAATCAATATGGGCCCTTCATCTCCATTTTCTTGATCACTAAAGTGAAAAAGAATGTATTGTTAATATGTGTCTGTTTATATGATTCTTTTCTTTCTCCCCAACAAGATAGTTAGCTCATTCATGTGGAGAGCCCATGGGTTTTATTTACAAGTGCTTCAGTAAATGAAGTACATGTAAGGGGTGTAGTAAATGATTGCTGAATAAGTGAATGAATGCTTAGGAAATGAGTACGTACATATGAAATCGTTTTTTAGTCTTTCCGTTGTCCTCTGGCTTAAGTTTTTGCTCTTGTACAATTTTGTTCAAGTCTTCCTGTAAATAATAGTGTCCAAATGTTGACTCTGACGAGCAAGTAATGGTACCATCTTCGTTGTGATGGTCCTGGGGGAGTCATGGGGTAAGGAGACAGATTTTCTGAGAAAATCCTTCAATTTTCCTCCCTCCTCCACACAGTTTCAACCCTTTGGCCCTCATTCTTCAGCACTTCGGTTATGTAACTGAATTTTCTCTGCAATTATTAAGATATGTGATGTTATTTCTATTTTCTGAGAAAATTGAGGTTCATAGGTCCTAAGTTACTGATCAAAGGTCCACAAAGCAAAAAGTTGATGTTCACAGTTTAAAACCAGGTCTGTAAAATGTAGATATTCATGATTTCTCCTTCCATCCTACCACAGTGCCTCTAGCCATATGATAAAGTAGGGATTCCACCTACATTAAATGTGTTGTAGATGGAAGGGGAAAACTACAAAGCTAATCCAGTTGGGAAGAATCAGCAAGTTACTATCACAGTGGAAATCCCTGGAAAAAAAAGGCTTGACTCTTACACAAATGGTCCTGACTAAATACCATGAAATTATGCAGCCCAGGGTTCTTTCTTTGATGAGCACAAAATTGTTTCTTGGTTTACAGTTATTTTACTGACATAACATTGACAACCAGAAGAATATAGGATGATTAAATCAACATCATAAAGCATCTCTCAATTTTTTTCCAGTAAATTGCATAGCATTATTTCCTAATCTATCCTTATTCTTTCTGTAAGGTTAATTTTGAGTAGGTATTTAGGAAAATGCTACTTTCTGTGATGTTTTATACCTTATTTTTAAAACTGCAGGTATTTAAAATCTTCCATATTCACACCATCCTAACTGCATTGCTTTCATTTCTCTGTTTACTTCCAGTCTTTACCCATATATTATAAAATATAGTCTTTACATATTTTCATGCCACATAGTGATATAATTTTTATTCCATCTTTATTTACATTTAACATTTTTGTTGTTTTAGCAATAAAGAAGGAAGCAGCAGACAGAATATTTCAAAGCTTAATGTGTGTTGTTCCCAAATTGTATTTGTTTCCTTAGTATTTGTTTTCCTAGCTATGATAAAAATGAAGATTTAAGGGATGGTTACTACATATTAACACAGACTATAGTAACTTAAGTAGATGTAATGAAATTTTTTAGAGAGCTGGGTGATTCTCTGATTTAAATACAAGTTTAAGGACATGTAAGATAGTTGAGCATAAAATTGAGCTACAATCTAGAGTTACTACTAAACAGGCAATTATTTTGTTTTGGCAACATGTGTAGAGGCACTAACAATTACGTATGTCTACCTAGAAATGACAGAAGGAACACTTGAAATATGAAATTTACTTTATTAGCTATAAATGTGTTTTCCTTTGATAAAACATACTAACTTACTTGAAATTTATTTATATAAACTCACTTAACTCCATGTTCATTCTCGTTAAAGGTTGTATTTCATTCGATTATGATTAGGGACTTTATTTAAATCACTAAAATCTCATTCCTCATTTAATGATGCCTACCAAAATATAGAGCTGTCTACATTAGCATTGCTCATTTATTACACTAATTTCCCAAAATATGCAAGTTTATTCTAAAAGCTCTTCATAAAAATTATAAAGAAGTGGCTTTTTAATTTCCCAAAGTTCTCATCTGGATTAGAATAAGGTTAGGAAAAATTTAGTTAACAGAACCGTGAGCTTATTTTAAACCACATATTATCTAAATTATCTTTATAACTGTGCAGGCATATTTCAACAGTTTCTGTGAGGGTTCATGGACTCTTCAGAGATAAGAGTTTCTTTTGGCTCTTTAAACCATTTGAGTATTGTGGTGGGTTGTGTGTGGATTCCTAAAATATGTCTATCGGAATCTGTAAATGTGACCTCATTTGGAACAAAGGTCTTTGTAGATATAATTAAGGAAGAGATCTCAAGATGAGATCCTTCTAAAATAGAGTGGGTCCTAAATCCAGTGATCAATACCCTTAGAAGAGACAGGAAAAGATAGACAAATAGAAAACACAGGGAGAAGAGAAGAAGGCTATTTGAGGATGGAGGCAGAGATTGGAGTGATGCTGCCACAAGCCAAAGAATGCCAGGAGCCACCAGAAGCTGGGAGAAGTAAAGGAGATTTCTTCCTTAGAGCTCTTGTGGGGATCGTGGCCCTGCCAACACTTTAATTTCAGACTTCTGACCTCCAAATTGTGAGAGAATAAATTTCTGCTGTTTTAAGCTAGAAAATTTGTGATTATTAGTTGCAACAGCTGTAGGAAATTTATGCAAGTATGCATTTGACACTAATTGCAGCTTTTGAATTGCTTTAAATCTTAGTCTATGGCTATCTTGTGTTTATAGTTAAGAGCTTTTTAAAAAAAGTATATTAAGGACTGAATGTCTGTCATAAAAACAATGCTATATATGTATTATACCATTTATCCTCACAAGGTTACTGTTTTGGTTTTATTTTACCTACTGTAGACGTGGCTGGTGGCTATTCATATTCCATGCTTGATGCAATCAGAAGAGCAGTGATGGTTTCCAATATCCTTTTAATTAATAAGGTAAATGAGAAAAGCCTGACCCTCAAAGAAGTCTTCAGACTAGCTACTCTTGGAGGAAGCCAAGGTAATGACTATTACATTTGTCTCTCACACAATATACAACCATGCTGATCTCTGTCCTTGGATGTAGTATGAAGGTGCATGATTGATATTAGGAAAATCCAATATTCATAACGATCTCATCTCATGTAACATACCCAGAACTCAGCCAGTAAAGTGAAGTTCACTGACAGAGGAATCATTCCTTCGGTGATTTCACTGTCTTTGGTAGAATAGATGTCTGAGACACAGTTATCATATTGATTGTTTTAATGGATATTACATTGGTTACATGGATATGAGTTCTTTAAAGTAATCCATTCTTAGGCCAGGTGCCTAAGAATCACAGTAACTCACGTCTGTAATCCCAGCACTTTGGGAAGCTGAGGCAGGCAGATCCCTTGAGCCCAAGAGTTTGAGACCAGCCTGGGCAATGTGACAAAACCCTGTCTCTATAAAAAATAAAAAAATTAGCTGGGCTTGGTGGAGTGTGCCTGTAGTCCTGGCTACTTGGGAGGCTGAGGTGCGAGGATCATCTGAACCCGGGGAGGTAGAGGCTGCAGTGAGCAGTGATTGCACCACTACACTTCAGCGTGGGCAACAGAGTGAGACCTTGTCTCCAAATAAATAAATTAAAGAATCTGTTTTTCCACTGAGTCAGGTAACTTGCTCTCCAGTGGCCTAAGTGATGATCATAATAGTAAAATAGTAGCCAAGGCTTACTAAGCTCTTTCCATGTGATAGGAATCATACAACATACTTTATATGTGTTGTTATTTAATCCTCACAACCACTGTTATTCATTTCGTTTTACAAACAAGGAGCCTGAGTGAGGCTTACACAGCTGTCAAGCCACAGTGTGCTATGATTTGAATCCACCTAATCTGATGCCAGCATGCAGACTTCTTACCTTCTGCCTTTCCACTACAGTATCTTCCTGTATAAATCCCTGCCAAGACCATGTATTTGGTTCATATACTTAAGTACACTAATTCCTCAAACCTCTTTAAAAGGATAAAGATGTAAAAATTTAGTTGGTTGATATGCAAATATTGCTCATCAGCTTTTTCCAGTTCTCAGGTATAACTGTATTGTTATGGAAAAAAATAAAAATTGGTCGTTGTATTTCCTTAAGTCACTTTAGAATTATAAATGTAATCGGAATGGATCATAGTGAAACACAGCATGAAACCATAGGTAGCTAGTGAGAAATTAAAATGTAGATATAGATTTAGAAACATATTTGGTTGTAGATTTATGATAGATACCCTGAGTCTTACAAATGGAGGACGATCGAAGCCAAGATTATCCTGGGAAGAGAAACTTCTCAGATGTTCTCTGAGTGTTGGGGACTAGGATGAACACCATAAGCACATTTCAAGAAAAACAAGTACAGGGTTGTTTTTTGTTTTAGTTTTTGTTTTGTTTTTTGCTTTTTTTTTTTTTTTTTTGATTTCCCAAAGTCTTATGGTTCATTTTCCAAAATCCCAAGTTTCAAATCACTCACTATTTTAATAAGTGTTACAACCTTTCACCCACACCACCATTGTCCCTTCACATCTGAATTTGAGTTTGAGTAGTTATTCTACCATCTATGTTCATGGTACAAACAAGTCGTATTTAAATAGTGCTTTTTGAATTCTAGGCTCTCTATGAGTTACTTCATCAGTATCCTGTTTCTTTGATCAAGCCAGCATGGGTGCCTACCAAATCATTTGTACTTTGCTGTGTAGCTTTTAAATCTATTTTCTGGGTCACTGGGCTTACTCATGGAATTTCTCTTCCTTAGTTTGTTTCTCTACTATAGTCAGAGTAAAATGAGATGAATGGATCCGTATTTAAAGTGTGGCATTTTCCCAGCACTGCCATGGCCTTTACACTCATTCTCAAGAAGATCAAGATGAGCAAAAATGATCTTCACAGAACCAACATTTACTCCAAAAGCAGCAAAACCGCATTTCCTGAAATGCATTTGAGTCACTTACCAGCCCAGTGGGATCTCTGTGCAACAATTTTTATTTATATCAGTTTACAAATTCACTGAAAAGAATTGTGTCTTTTTGGTTAGTTCATTCCTGAAGTCTCCAGGCTCTACTGAACAACCCAGTTGGTTTATATATACCATCAACCTTGCCTAAACTCTAGTCACTGCACCTGGTTATCTGGTCTATTAAATGCGCAACAATTTTATGTTGAAGTCAGTCATTAAAAACTTATACTTGACATGCTTCTTTGTCAAGGGCAAAAAGAAGTCGAGTAATCAGTGAAGGAGGAGAGAATTTCCAATGATTTTCTATTACATTCAGTCATTCCCCATACAATTAGTAGGAGTCACCTGGCTCCTTTTAACATTTCGGATTATTTTCATACCCCTGTCTTGCTAAAGAGAGTACTTCAGCTAAAAAGCCATTTTTCTTTTCTGAGAATAAAAGAGTTGCCCTTTAAAGAACCTTTTAAGAACAAGTAAGATTTCTAAGTCAGTGTTTAGAGAAATGCCACAACTTTTGGATACCTATAGGTAGAAATATAATGTATTGGATAATGCCTAACAGAGGTAATCGATTCAATATTTTAACATGAAAGTGTATCTTAGCAGTGATAGAATGCAACAAACACATGTGAAAATTGAAATAAATAATACTGCACTCTGGTTAACCTTCCTTTTATTCATGCTTCCATTTGTGACCCCAGTGTACACCTTCCTCAGATTACAGGCTTTAAGGAACTTTAAATCCAATACCTCCGTTGGCGAGGAAAGCCAACTACCCCCATCTTTCTGAAACTAAATCATAAAAATGAGAGATGTTCTTCCTTGGTATCCAATAATCTTGGAACATGAGTTGTAGCTGTGAGATGAGCCAAGTCAATAGATATTATTGGCCTGTGCTCTGTTTTAAAAAACCATTCTTCTCTGGTGACCAGAAAACCTTCAGGGTTGGAAAGAGATTGGTCTGTTTTCAAAAGCCCCTGGGACTTTTGAGTTATCAGAATCTGTCCACTTTGAGAAGTGAGCTTTTTTTTTTTCCATTCAGAGGATTTAAACTAAGGAATTTCTGATGGATATGCCTGCATTGACAAATATGCAAAAGGATAATTATTTTTTATTTATTCAAGGTTCATTTCACTTCCATGAAAATAAATCTTGTCAGCTATTTCATGGAACAGAAAGAACAAAAAAAGGCAATGCAAGGAGTTTGGAGTGTAGGGGGGAGGATAGAAGGGAAAAAGAATAAAGGTATTATGTTAATCATCACGTTTCTTAGAGGGATAAATGAAAAGCATAGACCAGCTGGGCTATGAAATGCACTGATAGAGCTGAAATAGAGACATATCAGAGTTATGATACGGTAATGAAGGGAACTGTTTTTATTCTCAGATTTTGCCTTCCTATGCATACTCCGCTTTATGTAAGAAGTCTTGTGACCTATTAGAATGAGAGTGCTTTTCTGTCTCACTGTTAAGACACTATTTTTTTTTCTCTCCTAGCGACATGTTGGCAAAATCTGTCCTTACAAACAGACATTAGTGTGGTCTGATGGCTTGCAATCCTGACTGTTTATTCACTTGTTCTCAATAGCCCTGGGGCTGGATGGTGAGATTGGAAACTTTGAAGTGGGCAAGGAATTTGATGCCCTCCTGATCAACCCCAAAGCATCCGACTCTCCCATTGATCTGTTTTATGGGGATTTTTTTGGTGATATTTCTGAGGTAAGTAAAAGAAAGTTAATCAAAAGGCATTTATTTCATAAAGTCCTTGTCACAATAGCTTCCCTGTAGAAAAGAAAATAGAAACTGAAATATTTTAATGGAATGCAGGAAAATCTTAAAAGGGACGCTAGAGCCCTTTAATAATTATTATAATTTTAATGTTAAAAATAATGGTATTAACAAAACTTTTTTTTTTTTTTTTTTTTTGAGACGGAGTCTCGCTCTTTAGCCCAGGCTGGTGTGCAGTGGCATGATCTCAGCTCACTGCAAGCTCCACCTCCTGGGTTCAGGCCATTCTCCTGCCTCAGCCTCCCAAGTAGCTGGGACTACAGGTGCCCGCCACCATGTCTGGCTAATTTTTTGTATTTTTAGTAGAGACGAGGTTTCACCATGTTAGTCAAGATGATCTTAATCTCCTGACCTCATGATCCACCTGCCTTGGTCTCCCAAAGTGCTGGGATTACAGGCATGAGCCACTGTGCCCAGCCAACAAAACTTTTATATTTTAAATGTTTTTGTATATTTGAATGTATTTGGCCACAAACAGCCATAATGTAATTAGCACTCATTGAACACTTGCTATGTGCTGGGTAGGCATGGGATTAGGCACTTCCTTATCTAATTTTGTTCGATCATCAGAGCAACTCTAAGAGAGTAGGTACTATTAATATTGCCATGTTAATTTATAGGGGCAGTGAGGCTTAAGGGAGGTTAAGTGATTTACGTAAAGACTCATAGCCAGTGATTAGTAGGCGGAATTTGGATTCACACATGGGACTTTCTGACTACTGGAGGCAAGGCTCTTGACCGCGATGCTATGTCAATGGTTTTAATTTTGTAAGAAAATGAACTTTGTTTCTCTTATTATAAAATGTTTTTCTATGGATACAATAAAGTAGTTCATCTTACCTGAAAAATGATTCCTTGTAAGATATTGAGTTCTTCCTAAAAAAAGAATTAACTATTGCCATTTCTAAATTGATCTACTTATGAGAGTAAATGTGATAATAAATACATTAAAGTTTTTAAAAGAAAAATTCTGTATTATGTGAAGTTTGTACCATTTGTTATTATAAAAGAGGAAAAATATCTTTTTCTCTACCCATCTTAGGGTCAAGGCTGAGGTCACTATAACAAGAGACAGATTAACAGGAGAAAGGCATACACATTTATTTAATATAAATTTTTTTTTGAGACAGAGTTTGCTCTTGTCGCCCAGGCTGGAGTACAATGGCACGATCTCAGCTCACTACAACCTCTGCCTCCTGGGTTCAAGCAGCTCTCCTGTCTCAGCCTCCCAAGTAGCTGGGATTACAGGTGCCCACCACCACACCCAGCTAATTTTTGTAATTTTGGTAGAGACGGGCTTTCACCATGTTGGCCAAGCTGGTCTTGAACTCCTGACCTCAGGTAATCCACCTGCCTTGGCCTCCCAAAGTGTTGGGATTACAGGCATGAGCCACTGTACCTGGCCTGTTTAATATAAATTTTACATGACAGAAGCCTTCATAAGGAAGTGAAGACCCAAACAAACAGGTAAACTTGGGTATTTTTATGCTAGGTTTGATGAAGAGTGGAAAGTTGTAGAGAAATGTGATAGGACACGGAGTGTGATCCAGTGGTAATAAGCTAGAGGGAACTTAGCAAGGCCTGTTTGTTCAGATTCTTCTCTGTGACCATTTGTCTCCAGAGATCTGGCATAGGGAGGGCACCCCTTTACTTAATGGTCTTACGACCTGCATCTGGGTGAGGGGTGAGGGGTGAGGGAGAGTCAGAGTGACCTTCCTGTGTTTGATTGGAGGTCATGTGTCCTGACCCCATCATTATTTTCATGTTGTTTATTATTTTACTCTCTTATTAGAGTAAATCTCTGGGAATAGGGCTGTAGGGAATAGTCCTAGTCATTTTTCTTACATCAGGGGTGTCCAAGGGAGAGAATACAGTCATGAGTTCTTAGTTTCTGTTTCTGGTTGTGCCAGTAAAGCCCCCTCCCTCCTCCCTCTTTTCTGCTTATCAGTAGAGACAGAAACTAAAAACCGTGGCTTCAGGCTGCTAAAAGCCTAAAACAAAACAAAACAGAACAACAAAAACAAAATAAGGCAAGTTGGACGAGCTTGTCTTACATCATACCCCTCTTGAAATATTTGAATTATTTTACTAAATTAATTTCTTTAATTTATATAATACCTTTTCTCTGATGACTCAAAAGTTACATACCCAGAACTTTCACACAATAGGTAAACTTCTGTTAATTGCCAGTGGATTATTTGTTGTTCTGGGAGGTTTTTATGAAGCACATAGCCACTTCTTTTTTAATTAATAGAAGTCGATTTTGACATTAAGAAATAAATTCATATTTCTGGGCTTTGCCAGCCACTATTGCCTGTGAATTTACTTTTCTAAATGCACAAACTAGTCTTTCTTATTACTTTTATTTTCCATTTTAGGCTGTTATCCAGAAGTTCCTCTATCTAGGTAGGTAGATGTATGTCTCTATGCTAAATATTAAATAAAACCTTTTCCTGTCTTTTTCTTGGGTATGGCTCTATATATTTATCATACCATATATTAAACTCTATGTATGATAATTTGCTTTGATTCATTATTTTTTTAACACTCTGAAGCATCAAGCCCATTGGTGGCACATTATTTAAAGGTTCTATTTGAAATCTCTAGTCATAAATTGTAAGCTGAGGAATGGAAGGCCAAAGGTGAAGAGATCTTCATGTTCAACCCCCTTGTACTCATTCGGTATCTGACATTCTCCCCTACCATGTTTTTGTGACAAATGTATAGTACAGTCTCCCTACACGTGCTTGTGATGTACTCACATTCAATTCCATTCAGAGAGAGAAACAGTAATGCAGAAGATTCTACCCTCCCTCCCATTCTGTTGAGTGAGCTCAGGACTGAGTGAACTCGAGATGGAAAGACACATGTATTACTTCTTGTGGAGCTGATTCTGGAGCGTAAAGAGTAGTATTTATTTCTCAATGGGGGCAAAATGTAAACCAACCGCTTTAGTTGAGAAAGGACAGCTATAGGGGGTTGAGTCAACTTTATGTGATTTCTGCCTCTGGTGCAGAATTCAGACCCTAATCATCAAATTAGCTATAACATTTTCTACCGGTCATATCTTCCTGTTCAGACTATAAACAATCTGAGGGTGGGGGGAAAGCAGCTTTTAGTATTTCCTCTCCTAGAAGTATCTTAAAAAAAAAATCTCTCCCAATGGCAGGGAAGATACTTATTGACACAAAAGGATTTTATACATGATTCCTTGATTTTTCTTTCAGGAGATGATCGAAATATTGAGGAAGTTTATGTGGGCGGAAAGCAGGTGGTTCCGTTTTCCAGCTCAGTGTAAGACCCTCGGGCGTCTACGACATTCTCCTGGGATTAGCGTGGTTCTGCATCTCCCTTGTGCCCAGGTGGAGTTAGAAAGTCAAAAAATAGTACCTTGTTCTTGGGATGACTATCCCTTTCTGTGTCTAGTTACAGTATTCACTTGACAAATAGTTCGAAGGAAGTTGCACTAATTCTCAACTCTGGTTGAGAGGGTTCATAAATTTCATGAAAATGTCTCCCTTTGGAGCTGCTCAGACTTACTTTAAGCTCAAACAGAAGGGAATGCTCTTACTGGGGGTGTTCCTACGATAAAACTGAAGCAAAGCCTTTTTCATATTTCAAAATGTGGAAAGAAAAGATGTTTCTAAAAGGTTAGATATTTTGAGCTAATAAATGCAAAAATTAGAAAACGGAAAATGGACCCATGAGAGTATATTTTTATGAGGGAGCAAAAGTTAGACTGCGAACAAATGTTAGAAAATCACTTCAGATTGTGTTTGAAAATTATATACCGAGCATACTAATTTAAAAAGAGAACTTGTTGAATTTCAAAACGTGTTTCTAGGTTGACCTTGTGTTTTAGAAATTTGCACTTAATGGAATTTGCATTTCAGAGATGTGTTAGTGTTGTGCTTTGCCTTCTTTGGGGATGAATGTCAGAAATGGAATGCCACATGCTTTCTTAATATAGTTTTGTGCTTCAAAGTGTTTGACAGAAGTTGGGTATTAAAGATTTAAAGTCTCTTAGGAATATTATTCATGTAACTACATGGCATAAATAGTTGTATTTTTTGTGCACTTTAAAATCAACTTATAACTGTGAGATGTCATTGCTTCCATTTTATCAGAAGAGAAACAAATTCTGTGCTTAATGAAATTTATGTAGACTGGAGTCTTCGTGAACTGGGGCAAGTGATGGGCATCCAGGAGCCGCCAATACTAACAGGACAGGTTCCATTGCCATGGCCTATTCCACCCAAACAATATATTGTAGTTTCTGGAAATTCCGTACTCGGATATCAGTCTGCTAGAACTTTAAAATGAAGGACAAATCCTGTTAAAGAAATATTGTTAAAAATCTTTAAACCCTGTGTATTGAAAGGACTCTATTTTCTAATTTTCGCCAATTTTCTGTTTAATTCCCTATAATTTTTAGGACATTAGAATTTTAGGATAATGAAGAGTACATAATGTCCTACTTAATATTTACATTAACAGGACAATTCTTACTAGATATTTAGGAACATTACAAAGCAAAGAATATTTTTATGCTTCCTAATACAGTGTGTTTTCCCATAACCTAGAATTAAAACCAAATTATGACCTTATGATAAATCTTTAAGTATTGATGTGAATGTTATTTAAATTCTATATTTTTCTTGTTTAATTGCAAATACTATAAATGAGCAAGGAAAAGGAATAGACTTTCTTAATATAACACTCATTCCTAGAGCTTAGGGGTGACTCTTTAATATTACCTTATAGTAGAAAACTTTATGTAATATAGCTAACTCTGTATTTACAGAACAAAAAACATAGTTCCCCCTCCTGTAGTGTAAATTTTATTTTCACATACTTATGCTAATTTAGCAGTAATTGGCCCAGGTTTTTTCCCTAATAGAAATACTTTTAGATTTGATTGTGTATACATGACACCTAAAGAGGGAACAAAAGTTTAGTTTTATTTTTTTAATAAACAACAGAGTTTGTTTTGTGAGATAAGTAGCTTAGTAAACCCAATTTCCAGTCTTAGTCTGTATTTCTAATATTTCTAGTTCCTGAGCCATGTCAAAGATGCCTTGCCAAATTTCCCCCCATTTCTCTATGGGGCTAGCAAGAATCTTCAGCTTTATCCCTCAATCACTGCCAAAGGAACTTGATTACATGGTGTCTAACCAAATGAGTAGGCTTAGGAATTTAGATGAGATGTGTAAGATCCACTTACAGGCAGTAGCTGCTTCTAGTGTTTGCAAGATCCTACACTTTTACCTTCTTTAAGGGTGTACATTTTGATGTTGAACATCAGTTTTCATGTAGACCTAGGACTCCTGTGCAGTAAATATAAATAAGTGTAGCATCAGAAGCAGTAGGAATGGCCGTATACAACCATCCTGTTAAACATTTAAATTTAGCTCTGATAGTGTGTTAAGACCTGAATATCTTTCCTGGTAAAAATAGGATGTGTTGAAATGTTTATATGTACCTTGATCTCTCCGCATCACTTATAACTTATGTGTTCTGTTTCTCCAAGTGCGGTGTTCCTGAATGTTATGTATGCTTTTTTTTTTTTTTTTCTGTACCACAGGCATTAGCTATACCTGGGGCCAGATTTTCTGCACTTTGAAATGTTGCCTTTGCCTAATGTAGGTTGACTTTCTGAATTTTGGAGCGGCACTTTTCCAAGCCAATCTTATTTGTCCCTTTTTGTTTGAATATCTTGCTCTCTGACAGGAAAGAAACAATTAACTTAACAGCCTCCTCACCCCACCCTCCACCATTTCCTTCATGTTCCATGGTATTTTCAACAGAATGCTCTTTGAAAGGTAAAAACCATTGAAAAGTATCGATTATCATAAATTCGCAAAATATTTTTGCAACCAAAACACAAAAGCAGGCTGATCAGCTAAGGTAAATTTCATTTTCAAACGAGAGGGAAACGTGGGAAGTAAAAGATTAGGAGGTGAAAGGTTGTCCTGAACAGACCAAGGAGACTGTTCCCTGATTTATTCTCTTGGCTGGTTCTCTCGTTGAATTATCAGACCCCAAGAGGAGATCTTGGAACAAGCTCCCTTCATGCCAGGGGTCTTTCTAAGTTAATGCTGTGAGCATTGAGCTCCTATTAAAACTCTTTTTTACTTCAGAAAGAATTCTACAGGTTAAAGGGAAAGAAATGGTGGGAAACTCTCCCCATAATGCTTAGCCAACTTTGAAATGTACCCTCCAATATCCCCACTGGCAACTGCAGCTGAGATCTTAGAGAGGAAATGTAACGGGTGTGAGATCTAGCAATGCATTTTGAATCTTCACTCCCTACCAGGCTCTTCCTATTTTTAATCTTTTCACCTCAGAACTAGACATATGGAGAGCTTTAAAGGCAAGCTGGAAGGCACATTGTATCAATTCTACCTTGTGCTATACGTCGGAGAGATCCAAAATTTGGATGCTTCTGGAGACTCTTGGACATCTTTTCATTGTTGTCCATTTTTAAAATTGATGATGATGGTTGGAAACATTCACATGCTTAAAAGCAATGGTGTGAGTTATTAACAGGTAAACGAAAAAGTAATGACTTGAAATGGTTTTTAAATTGTTTGGATTGTGAAGAATTTTTGAAGTGCTTTTTTTTTTTTTTTTGTACGGCTTCAAGGAGATGTTAGCAATTTCAGATCTACTAGCCAGTTTAGGTATGACTTTGGAAGTGCAGAAACAGAGGGACAGTGTTAGAAAATCCTGACATTGGTCCGCATGCATGTGTTCACACCTGGTTTCACCTGCCCTTCCTTCCCACAGCCCTGAGTGTGAGAGATTGAGAGTTGAGGGGTTGCTTTGTGGATCTTGTCCAAATTTAGTGAAATGTGGAAGTCAACCAGGCCAATGGTGGAATTAAATGTAAATTCCAAGAGGACTTTCACAGTCCATGGGGTTCAAATGACTTGGGTAACAGAAGTTACTCTTTTTTTGTGTGTGTGAGCAACAAGGCTGTTTATTTCACCTGGGTGCAGATGGGCTGAGTCCGAAAAAGTAGACAGCAAAGAGGGTGGGATTATCATTGGTTCTTATAGGTTTTGGGATAGGCGGTGGAGTTAGGAGCAATGTTTTGTGGGCAGGGGGTGGATCTCATAAAATACATTCTCAAGCGTGGGGAGAATTACAAAGAACCTTCTTAAGGGGGGAGATTATAAAGAACCTTCTTAAGGGTGGGGGAGATTACAAAGTACATTGATCAGTTAGGGTGGGGCAGAAACAAATCACAATGGGGGTAACAGAAGTTATTCTTAGCTTATCTGTTATGTGACAGTGATTTACCTGTCCATACCATTTCCAACCCAAAAGCCTGTCAGAAAGCATTCTTCAGAGAAAACCAGTTTACATTTGTTGTTAAACTCCTGATTGCTACTCTTAGGAATATATATGTATGTATTCATAGGAACATTTTTTCTCAATATTTGTATGATTCGCTTACTGTTATTGTGCTAAGTGAGCTCCTATGTGCTTCAGACAAAAATAAATGAGACTTTGTGTTTACGTTATTTTTTGTTGTGAGTTCTGTTTGGTTTTGTTGTGAATTCTATCAATCTGCCGGAAGGGGAATTGATTTTACACTGTTTTTCTTCTTTTAGCATGAATTTTAAAAAATAGAATAGAATACTTAGCTGTGAGCCAACATGTATCTAACATCCTATGATAGTCACTATACATAGCTTTTAAAAATTAAGCTCGAATGTTCAGCCTTTTAGAAGCAGATTGCTATTGCTTTTGATTTCAGCATAGTGTATATTTTATATATTTTAAGACATTACCCAGAGTGAGTAATGCACTCTATATGAAGAATCAGTTCACACAGACATATGTGCATGTGTATTTAAAACAAAAGTTTCACAGAATAATACTTTCTCTATTTGTGATGCCTTGGGCTATTTCCTGTACACTTTATTCTATGACATTTTATTTTATTCTCTACTTTTTAATGCTGCGGATGATTCCCCAGTTGGTTTCTTGAGCTTCTAATGAATCACCTGCAATTCGGAAGCAATATTCCAGTATGTTTGAGTCTAAGCTTGGTCATTCCCTCGCTGGGTGGCAGACATGTTACTTTAAGTCTCCACGGGTCCATTTCTAATTCCATGATATGGAGATAACATGAGTGCCTGCCTTACAGTCATGAAGACTAAATAAAAGGATACATAGACAGCACTTAAGCTAGCAGCTGGAACACAGTGAGTGCTCACTATGTGGTAGCTATTATCCTAAAAATGAATATAGACCAAATGAAAATAGAAATAATTTTATAAATATTTTATCAGTATATATTTTATAATCTAAATCAAGTGATATTATGGATCCTCCTTTACATAGAAACACTTTGCATCTGATTTTTTCAACAGTATTATATGTTCATTTTTTAAATTTGTAATATGAAACATAGAGTAGTAGATTAGGTCTATAAATTCATCCCAATGTCTGAGCAGCTTGCAGAACAAGTCTTTCAATTGCACTGGTGACCCAGCTCATCCCCCCTTTCTCTCTTGTAGTTCTCAGAATAACTGTAGAATGTGCTGGAAATGGAACATTCTCAGATAAGGAGGAACTGGCCAGAACAGACTGGGCTGTGTTCCCATCCCTCCTGAAACAGGATCTTACGGTGCCTTAGCCCAGCATGTCAAGTATCCTCAAGGTGTAAAACCCAGGGTGGAGCATGCTTCGAAGGTCCCTCAGCTACGTGCAGATGTAGCTGACTCTATCTGTCTTGGGAAACTATCCTGAGCCTTGACAGACTTGCCATGAATCTTAAGCTTGTATTGTCCCTTGCTGCCTATCTGTGAGGAATAAAGTTGCTTCACTTACTTTGCTGTGTGATTGTTCTGTCTCACTAGACTCATGCAAGGGGTAGAAATTGCAGTCCTAAGATACAGTGGGCATGATGAAACTGCTTCCCATAACTTACTAAGCACTTATTTTCTCCTAAAGATCAATTTAGTACAAAATATCCAGAAAAGAAATTTCACATGCATAATTTAGCAATAATGTATGTCCAGTTTGCACATTGTAGACACTGGGTATTACAATAGATAATATATAAATGTGCAGATTATTACATGGTACTAAATTCAGGATTTAAATTAACAACAACAACAAAAAAGATTTGGATATAAGATAAATACCTTCCAGTAGCAAAACAGGACTTGTGTTATGGTGTTTTAAGACTCCATCAAGAGACCACTTAGTTACTGGACCAGAACTCACAAGTAACTCTCACCAGTGGCAGGTGTTTTATTTTGTTTTAATCTTATTTTAAAATAGGACAAAAGAGAAATGTTCTCTGTCTTTGATAGGACAGCATTTTAAAATGTGATTAATATTTTAAACTAATTCAGACTTATCACTTTTATCTCCAGCCCGACCCTAACCTACTACCACATCATTGTAAGACTACATTGCATTTATCATACTTAAAAAATGGTTCATGCTTCTATAATAGTTGAATCTAAATTTTGGAGCAGGAATATAGATAGAGAGCTAAAAGCATTTTCTCTATTAACAAAAACTTTGTTGGGAAATTCTTCAGTGGTAACTAAAAAAAGTAAATATTAAATGTTTTCTCGCCAGTACAAAATGCAATTAAAAAACAAAAACAAAAGCAGATCACATAGAATTTTATAGTCCACTTGAGCCCTCTGCTATTGCCTGGATTCTGTAGAGAGCAAGCAAACATTTGTTCCCTGTCTGTAGAAAGAGAACCCAAAGTCATAAGCAGTCAAATCAAACTGCAGAAATAATGGCCCTGGAAGATTGTTATTCGGTCAGATGACATCCACTCACTTGAAAACTGGAACTTGTCGCTTCACTGTGAAATTAACTTCTGTCCTTTTAGTCTGGGTCACTCTCCAGATCAGACTTTTGGTTAACTGCTGTCAAATAAAACCCATAAATGAATAACCCAAGCAAGAATTCTGTTTGTGTGTGTGTTTTTTCCAAATTTCTAAATTTGCTGTCCTGGAACACTTGAGAGACTTCAAATGGCCTTGGTGATTTTTGTTTTTGTTTTTCTTCCACAAAAGTTGGTTTCATCCGCACCTGAGTTAAGGAACAAGTGAAGGATGGCTTTGTGTTTGTAAAGCACTTTGAAAACCTTGACCGAAGCACAGAAACAGATAAAGGCAAGAAAGGCTTAATTTATCAAAGTATTACAGAACAGATGAACCCTCAAATTGGAGCTTTGCCCAGGAAGGTTATCCGGGAAAGAATTCAGTGTTAGACAGCATCTTTTATTGAATAGTACTGCTCCCTACAGAGCAGGGATAACTCATAGGCAGTGCAACTAAAGTTGACAACATATGGGTTCTTGGCAACTGTATACTCACTTAAATCCACTTTTAATTACATGCAAATTAAGGGGTAGGTGAATGCAAATTGAAGGGCAGTTTAGGATTTTCTAGCAAAGGGGTGGTAACTTCTAGGTCATTGTCATAGCTTTTGTAAATTGTCATGGTGCTGGTGGGAGTGTCTTATGCTAATGAGCAATGAGGGCATCTGTGGATTGCTTTGGTAGCCATCTGCTGATTTCTACCAGTTTCTTCACTTTATCCTGTTTAGACCAGATCCTGATTTGGTCAGCAAGGTTGTGACCAGAAAACAAATCCTGCCTGTCTCCTACCTCAAAAGGATACTCAAAAGGATAAATGAAGGCGCTCAGAAATACAAGTGCACACACTTCTTTCAATTCATAAACTTTCTTAGTAGAACTATTAAAGATGTATTGGCAACCTATGTATTTTGGACTAATTTATATAACCACGACAAACCCTCCAGCATCATAAATATGTCCTGGCATAATGCAATGGCATGCTATCCATCCTGTAAAATCTCATGCTAGTGACTCAGAAACATGGGGGTAAAAGAGAAGCTATGTATGGAGTTTAGGTTGTTTGTTTATTTATTAAAGCTGGGTAATAGGCTTTTTATGTCATCCAGGACAATTTTGCAATCTATTATGGATGTATTATTTATTGTAACTTATGGAGGAAACTCATGATGAGACTCATAGAAAATCTTCACATTCCCTAGAAAATTATTGCCCTGATTAAATAAGAAGTCAGTATAAATGCATATAAAATATTCATTTAATGTTGTTTTGTAGTACTGTAGACCATTTAACATGGCATAATTTAATCCAAAAGAAATTGTAATTAGTCAGTTTGCTCTGAAGTGTACTTGGCTGTTCTCTTATGCTTTTTATGTCTTTGTAAATTTCATACTTAAAAATGGTTAATTAGTTGGTTTTTTGAAAGATAGAAATCTGTATGTGCAGAAAGCATAAAATAATGGCCTATTAAGTCATATTTAATTTACTAATCATGAAGTTGTAAATTCTAATCAACATTCATTTAAGCAACATTTCATCAAATGCATAATAAATACCAGGTACAGGTCAGTTCTGAGGGTTAAAAATAACTTTTATCTCTTTGAAGAACTCACAGTCTGGGATGGTAGGTGAGAGGCAATACATAGACAATATATTATGTTTATGACAGATGTATAGAGAGCTAAGGGTGTTTAAGGGGGAAACTAGGTTCTCTTGGGTATATAGTCCGCAGAGATTACAGAGGGCTAAGTGTGGTGGTGAATCCTTCACAGAAGTGACATCTAAGCTTGGAAGAAGAAGAATAATTTATTTTCCATATGAAAACTCGAAAATTTCAAGCAGAGCATTCAGCATGAGCAATAGCAGCTCATCATGAAGACTTGACTTCTGGAAAAGTAAGGTAAGAATGAAGTGGACGAATCCAGTCTTCATAAGAATCGCCACAGGTGTTGGTTCAAAATGAAGGTTTCCAGGCCCTTGTCCCTATACATTCGGATTCAGTAGGTTTGGCTTGGGGCCCAAGAATTTGTATTATCAACAGATACCCAGGTATGGTCAGGGAATGGGTGTAGTGAGGAGA